GGATTGGAAGGACTTGGTGCGGCCGTTCGGGGAGATGGAGTGGTCGGAGAAGCCCTCGGAGAGCTCCTGGTCCGAGGCCTCGTAGCCCAGCGGCAGGAAGACGTCCAGCTCCTGCAGCTCAGCCGGCGGCGGGCTCATCCCCTCTTTGCCGGGGGGATCTGAGAGGCGGAGGGGCTCCAGGCAGCCCCCGTTGCCCGTGATGCTCAGGCTGTGCTGGCGGGACTCGTAGGACTCTTTGACGTAGAGCTTGGTGAGCGTGTCCTGCCAGCCGGCCAACCTCGCCAGCTGCTTCACCATGTCCTGCTGCGCGTAGATCAAGTGGAAGAGCTGCAAGAGAAAGCCGGGGTGAGACCTGATGATGTTGCCCCAGCTCCTGGTAACCCCTTGGGGGGTTGGCCCCTCCAAGGGGCAGGATGCTTGAGCACCCCAGATCCTCCATAACCATCACGGTGTGCTGGGGTTGCACCACCTCCATGCTGGCAGGTCTACGTGCCGGCAGCTCTATGCATGGGGTGTTACCACCATCCCCATGGCCCCTACGTTCGGGCACAGCTGGGTGCCCATGGGTGGCTCCAGCGAGCTCAGCCCCAAGGCGACCGCTCGGTCACAGCCCCTCGTGCCCATGGCCCCGCTCACCTTGCGGCAGATATCAAGCCGGACGGTCAGCTCGGCACGGTGGGACAGGTAAACCACGGCCACCAGGTCCTTATAGTTGGGGGGGTCTGTGGACAAGGAGAGAGAGCACGGTGGTGGGACAGGTCATTCTGTCCCCAAAAGCCACCAAAGACCCCCAGCCCCAAGACCAGCTGAGCCTCATGGGAAGCCACCAGTGATGACCCCATGGCACGTGTTCGGGATGGGTGGTCAGGGCCAGCCTGGTTTCAGCAGGGCACATGGTACCTGCCCCGAGGACCTGCTCCGAGAGGCAGCGGAAGAGCAGCATGGAGCCGGGAATGTCGCTGAGGCAGGCGATGAGCCCCTGGTACCCGATATCCTTCAGCTTCAGGCGATTCTTGCTGCGCTCGGGGACCTTCTCGTACTTCAGCATCTTGTAGAGGACCTGGTGAGACAGAAAGAGGTGGCCACCCTGCTCTGGCAAAGCCCCCGGCTGCTGGGGAATGGCACAAGGTTGGTGCCAGGGACTCGCCTTACCTTGAAGACTCTCTCCCGCACTTCATCTGAGAACTTCTTCTGCACGAGCAGCGAGAAGAGGACCTCCACATGGCCTGGCTCAAAGAGGAAGGCGAAGAGCTGCTCCTGGGCAGGCGAGCCCTTCAGCAGGCTGTGGATCACCTCCAGCGCCCCACAGACCTGCAGGACATGGGGCTGGTTGTCCACTGCCCTCCATGTGCCCCACTGGGACCTCAGCGGCTTCTCCCCACCGGCTGCCAAATGCCGGGCCAGCCCATGAGGTGTTTGGGGACCATGGTGGCTCAGTGTTGTACCTGCTGCTCGTCCTGCGCCCCGGCCACATAGCTCAGCAAGCTCTGCATCTCCTCCCCAGAGAAGTTCCTGCAGAAGAAATCCTTCACCAAGCTGAAAAGGGACGTCTGCACTGTCTTGATGTCGTCGGTGGCTGTGGTCTTCTCCCTGGAGGTGCTGATGGACAGACATGCATGGGCATTCCCTTGGGATGTGCACAGCCACCCTCCTGCCCCTTGTCACCCATCGCCAGCATGATCCCAAATCCCACCATGAAGCCTGAGGAGCTCTGGGGCAGCCTGGCGTGGACATCCCTTCTAGCCAACCCTGCCCACTGGGAAACGTCCACCCCATGCATTTGGGTCTCTGCAGGGTTTCAGCACCCCCAGCATCACGGGCAGGCAGAAACTCATCGGGTCAGACAAGAAAAGGGCCTCAGCTTGTTGCAGAAACCACCATGCTCTTGGTTGCTGCTGGAGAGATGCTGGGGGTGGATTTTGGGGATGACGGGGCACAGCTTTGGGTGGAGGCTTGGGGATGGGGCATGGCCACGGGGAGTGGAAGGTCCTGCACCCACCACCATGTTCCCACACCCCAAGATTAACCCATGAGGTGCTTGCAGGGGGGATATTGCCCCAAGCAAATGGTGTCTACCCCAAACCGCAGCTCCGAGGGGTGAAGCTCACCACGATGTCAGCGTTGGGAGGTCCCGGCTACAAGGGGCAGCTCACCTGTAGTACGTCCGGATGGAGTCGAGGATGTACTGCACCCCGTACTTCTTGCAGATGCGCTGCTTGTGGTCCTTGATGACGTTGGCCAGATACTGGATATGGCCTGCAGGGAGAAGGTGTGAGTAGCCACGGAGGCCGGCTGGGATGCAGAACACCCCCAAGCACCCCCAGCTCCCACCTAAGCGGACGGCGAAGTCGCTGTTGCTCCAGATGCGGAAGTCGAAGAGGAGATGCTGGTACAGGAGGTGCAGCAGGAGCCCGCTGCCTTCGGAGGCCACCTGCTCCATGAGGATCTGCGAAGCCATCAGCGTGCTCATGTCCAGCAGTGGACCGGAGACCTGCCATGGGTGAGAGGAGAGGCTTGCAGCCCCGGCATCCCCCTTGGGGAATGGCCCCGAGGACTGCGGGATGGAGCCTTTGGTAGCCCTCCACACCTTCTGCAGGAGCGCCCCGATGATGGCCGGCCCATGGCACTGCACCAGGCTCTCCTGGTTCACTGGGTGGTTCCGGATGAAGTTCTTCACCAGCAGCAGGAAGGCGGCCACGCTGTTCTTCTCCAGCCTGCTCTCTGCAAGGCACAGGGCAGAGCCCCACCGGTAGCTGTGAGCCCGGTGCCCACCTGAACACCTTCCTACAGCGCTGCCTGTATCTGCCGGCAAAGGGCATCCTGGACACCCCACCATCAACTTTTCTCTGCAAACTTGCCAGCCTGTTTCCCTATTGCTCCCAAATTTAAGCTAGTGGAAGTCTCCGTTGTTCTGAGCGTCTTGGAAATAAGCAGCTGGGTATCGGGAGAATCATAGAATCATAGAATGCTTTGGGTTGGAAGGGACCTTGAGAGATCATTGAGCCCAACCCCCCTGCAGTAAGCAGGGATTGAGAAAGCCCGTTTCACCTACGCAGAAGGCTCCTGCATGAACCTAGCCTTACTATAAGACACCAGAGACTCCACCCAAAGGCAAGCCAGAGGTAAGCAGGCTGCAGCCACCCTCATCTTCCCAGAACTGCTTGTTTATGACTCATTAGGTCATAACAACATTAAAAGATAGAATCATAGAATCGTTTAGGTTGGAAAAGACCTTTAAGATCATCCAGTCCAACCATTAACCTACACTGCCAAGCCCACACTAAACCAACCAAGGGTAGACCAGACTAACCCATGTCCCAAAGTGCCACCTCTGCCCGTTTTTTGAACCCCTCCAGGGATGGGGACTCCCCCACCTCTCTGGGCAGCCTGTTCCAGTGCTTGGCCACTCATTCTGTGAAGAAATTTTTCCTAATATCCAATCTAAACCTCCCCTGGTGCAGCTTGAGCCCATTTCCTCTCGTCCTATCACTAACTACTTGGGAGAAGAGACCAACACCCACCTCACTACAACCTCCTTTCAGGTAGATGTCAATGGTTTCTCCATTACCCCATAACTCTTGGTGCCCCAGGCAAGACCTCTCATGCCCACGGTAGGCGCCAGCCCGCTGCAGGCAGCGCCCACGTGGCAGCGGGGTTACCTCCAGCCACCCAAGCAGGATGGCTCCCACTCCACGTCCCCCAAGGTCCTCACCTGAGGACTTGCCCAGTGGGATGAGCAAGCCCTGGGCGTTCCTGGAGGACGTCAGCTCTGGCCCCACCAGGTCGTTGGTCTCCTGCTCATCCTCGGGCTCCTCCTTCTTGGACACGACTTGCTCGAGCAGGGGCAGGAGCACGCCCATCCCACCCACGCAGTTGACCACGTCCTGCCGGAGGGAGGCGAGAGGCTTTGCCAGGTGCTGCGTGGTGATGGCAGTGTAGAGGAGGAGGTGGCACGTGCACCCGGGGTCTGTCCTGCCTGCTCACGGGCTCAGCCCCAGCTGGGGAGAGCCAGGCACTGTGGCTAGCAAAGATCAGGGTGTGCCCTGACCCATCCTACAGCACACACCTGAAAGAGGTCCCCAAGAAGCACCTGTGCCCCTGCACCACCCATGGTGCCCACCTTGGACGCTGAGGACCTCAGAGGCAGACAGGTCCTTAGGGGACCTGTGCGGCATCCAGGTCCTTGGTGGACCCATGGGTCACGCAGGTCCTTGGTGGACCCAATACCATGTAGCAAAGTTCCTGTAGGGTCCAGGGGAACCACCATGGCCATCCAACACCCCTTGGGTGGGCCTACCCCTGCCCCCTACCCCAGGAGGGGCCCAGCTGCCTCCATGCCATGGGGCAGATGGGCCAGGATGGACGACCCTGCGCCCAGCGTACCTTGATGTCCCAGTTGACCACCTTGTGCCCCGTCAGCCTCCCGTCCAAGCTGTGGCTGGGAGAGAGGTCCAGGCAGATGTTGTTCCTGCAGGCCTAGAAGAGAACACCATGGGGCATCTTCATGCTCCTGGAGATGTCACCTACAGCAGAGGGTCTACCAGTGCTGTTCCTGTCCCCAGGGGGGTGGCTCCCCTCACCTGTGGGGTGTAGTACAGCAAGAGCTTGCTGCTGAGCTCCACCAAGTCACCTTCCAGCGTAAATGGTGACGTGATGTTTGGCCCTAGGGGAAGAGGATTGGGGTGAGCTGGGGCATGGTGGAGGAGACCCTGGTTGCCACCAGCACCCCTGCGGACATCCCCCGTCCCCCACCCTGACGTACCTGCGCAGAAGAGCGCCTTGACCTGGGCTTGCTGCAGAGCCTCGCAGAAGATGGCCACGGAGCCGAGGTGACCTTCCAAAGATGTGGGGCTGCCCCACTCGGTGTCCTGGCTGCCAGCCGCTGTGGTGGCCACCACCCCCTCCGTGGGGGGCTGAGTAGGGGTCCAAGCGTGGGGGCCCAGGGCGGCAGGGACGGACTGGGAGCGGCCGAGTGCGGGGCGTTGGGGGAAGATCAGCTCTGGCCCATGGGATGCCAGTGGGTGGCCAGCAGTGGTGGGGGGGGCAGCGGAGCCGATGCAGCAGGAGGTGAAGGACTGGAAAGGAGAAGGAGTCATGCTAGGCCCCCAGCCCCATGGCAAGGGGTCCGGCTGGGTGCTGGGGGGTTCCCCCACCTCGTGGAGGGAGGGGAAGCGGAGCTGCGCCGTTTTCCGCAGGTGCCCATCGGTGTAGATGCTGACGATGTTCTGGCCGAAGGGCCGGCGGGCGGCGATGTCAACTCAATGCTACGGGGACAGGGAGGGGGGGGCTTCAGGCATCCTGCTGTCCTCGTCACCCCCTCGACGGGGATGGGGATGGGGGTCATGCTCACCCAAGCCGAGTCGTTGAAGGCAAACTCCGGCAATGCCACTGTCATGTAGTCCTTCTTGGTGCAGACGGCCACCACCAACACACGCTGCCGGCAGTGAAGAACGCCTCGAAGCCCGTCCCACCGGCCGTGAAGAAGCTGGTGGAGGAGAAGCATGGTGGGGATGGTGGTGCTGCCCCTCTTCATCTTCACCTCAGCCTCCCTGGTCCCTCCATTGAGCATCACCTGTAGAGCTGCCTCCTTTTTGGCTTCGCCGGTGGCTCGGGCTCCTCCTCGCTCAGGCACAACCAGGCGT